TATATTATATTATATTATATATTATATTATATATTATATTATATATTATATTATATATTATATTATATATTATATTATATATTATATTATATTATATATTATATTATATATTATATTATATTATATATTATATTATATTATATTATATTATATTATATATTATGTTATAATATATTATATTATATTATACTTGTCCCCTGTCAGACATCCCTCCATGCCGGTTGTGCGGTGAAGCGCGGCACAAAGTGGTCAGCCAACAAGTGGATCCTCGGAGACATCGGAGACGCAAAATGATGAAATGTTCTGGTGACCGGCGTTGCTGCACCCGTCGACGATGCTACTTGTTGCCAGTCTAAGGATCTGGAACAAGCCCATGCACTTTATCCTCGAGTGATACTGAGCAGGCGGACGTAGGTCGTAGGAATGAAATTATTTTACTGGATGTACCCAGACGAGCGCGCATTGGAAAAGCTTTGTGCTGGTCAGAGATGCAATGCAGAGCGGACATCTCGCGTGGAAAAGGGAATGGCGACAGCATCAAGCTTGGGTTATGTCTATACTATAGGTGAGTGTAAGTTACAAATGCTTTACATGCGTTTTGACTTCTGCTCTCAGCAGCATCCTTTGTCCCATAATGCTATCCTTTGGATGCTCACTTCAGGACGCACGCAGCTGTGGAGAGCATTTATTCGGGCAGCTCGAAACATGAACCCAAAATCTGTGAGCCGAATCTGGAACCTTGTTTTGTAGTGTGTCCAGATGCGCCACATGCGGAGCCAGTTGCTCGTTCCAAAGTCTATAGACCTGGCTGCAAGCTTATCAGATCCGCACGAATGGCAGGCACGGCTGGGCTTGCCTTCTTCGCATACAATGCGCCTTGGCCACTCCATCCTGAAGGCGCATGGAAGCAGTTCAGCTCAAGTTTCACCAATCTAGCGAGGGTGATCGTAGTTGTGCTGTACTGCCGCGGGGGCGGCGTTGAGTAAACATCCGTTTCCCGCTCCAGTGTGCATCCTCCATCTGCTCCAGTGTGCATCCAACGGCCTCATGTCCTGTAAACGTTGCCGGAACGGACCTCGGTTTTAGGGTTCCGGCCGCGGTGCGGCTGTGCATCCGTGGCTCCCCGTGATGATGATGCTGATGATGATGATGATGATGATGATGAGGACGATGAGGACCCTGATGATGCTCAGGATGATGACGGCGACTTTGTTTTTGCTGATGATGTGGATGATGACATATGATGACGATCATGCTCATGCTCATGATGTCAGTGATTTACCGTTGACACAGGCTTGTAGTGCTCGCCGTGAAGTGCGCCAACACTTGGGTCTGTCCTGTGGGGTCTCTTGGTCGTCTCGTCGTGGTCTTCGGGCTGTCTCCTGGACTCTGCCGGAGGCCCGGGAGTCTTCTCTGGTCGTCTCTTGGTGGTCTCCTCGTAGTTTCGCTGTGGTCTTCTGCCGGTCTTCTGGCGCCTCTGCGTTCCCGAGTCTCTTCCTGAACGATTTGCTTCCGAACCTTGCCTCCTTGGCCCCGAGGCCGAGGCCTTTCCCAAAACGAAAACCCTAAGCTGCAAAATCAGCAGGACGCTTCTGCGAAAGATGACAAACCCCAAAAGAGTGAACCCCGCAGGAACCTCTGGGCGAAGACGAAAAAAACCCAAGCAGAAACCCAGCACGAAGCTTCTACGAAAGACGATAAACCCTGAGGGGTGAACCCCGCAGGAAGCTTCCGCCAAAGACGACAACCTTTAGGACTAAAGCACGCAGGAAACTTTGGCCGAAGACGAAAACCCTAAGGAGTGAAGCCAGTGGGAACCTTTGGCCGAAGACGAAAAGCTTAAGGAACCCCTACAGAGTATATGAAAAACGCCGAACGGATGCTGCCGCCATGTGCTCATCTCCAATCTGCTCGACGCTCTTTGCGATTATCAAGCAAGTTCGATAGTCGCTCGGCTCCCCGGCAGGCGTTTGCAGATGGTTACTCAGCTACTGACGCCACGAAGCGAAGTCCTTAATCCTTTTGTGAAAACTTTCTTGCATCCAGCAGATATTCCGTGGTCAAAGCCCGAAAGGGCTGTGTTCTGAGGCCTCCTCAGGCCCAGGAGCTCGTTGTAAACGCTCAGGCGCTCGCTGGAGCGGCTCGGCAGCAAGTTCGGACACCGTCCTCGCCCCATGGCCCTGGAAACCTGCACGGCCTGCAGCCGAGGCTGGTCCAGCTCTCGCACAGTTGCTTGGCCGAAAGACTTCCCGTTGGAGACCGGCCCACAGCACCTTGGATTCTTTCGATCGAAGGCTGGTCAGCGAAATGCCAGGCTTGCCGGGAGCTCAGCTCCACTCAAATCGATTGCTCGTTTTGTGGAAAGTGTGCGTAGCTCAACCCAGGCGGTCATTGCGCCTGCTGACGGCCTCAAACCCGAACAGGCCTCAGATGCTCACAGCCGGATGAACCACTGCATTCCGCAATCGCCGGATGGCTGATGAACTGATCACTGCGTTGCTTTTGATGTAGCATCTCCCCAACTCCATTCAGCTGCGCTGGCAAAGATATTGTGTGCGCCATCTGCTGAGAGGCGGCAAGAACTGCACTTGGTCTCAGGCCGAGGCCAGCAGGCCTGCGCCGCGCAACCTGGCCTGCACAGCAAGCCTGCAGCGGACAGGACCGACCACACAGACCACACGCAGCTTGTCATGGGAGAACTGGGCTTGGCTCACGAATCTGCTGTATTGCCCTGCTCGATGCCGGACAGGACTTCGCACAGCTGACCAGCATCCAGCCGTTGACTTGGTGAAGTCGGGAGCCGTTCCATAGCGGCGTGTGCTGTTATCGTGCCGTGCCTTGAAATCATCTGACTTCATGTTGCCAGGTTGGGGCTTTGAAAGGCGGTTGCGAGGTGGAAGTTGCTGCGTATTGGTACGTGTTGCCCAGGATCAGAGGCGGCTTCTCCTTGGACTCGCTGAACCTTGGAGCGATGTTGTCGGGCGCCCAGAGGCAAGTGCTGGAGGCTACCATGTACCACACCTGATGCTTGGCAACAAGCAGAGTCTTGGATGGCAGGAATGTAAGGGTCTAGAACATCGTGCAAGGGACACCGACAGTTAAGTTCCCAGAAAATAGACGCCAAACATCGACAGGTCGAGTGCCAGCAGCTTGCAGGTCCTGGCCCAGTTCTTAGCACACAAGAAGGAAGCGTGTATGCACAAGAGGTAATGATGCCTGACTGGATCCAGGTTTGCGCCGGTCCTACTTACTAATTCCCTTCAGTTCACTCCAGGTCAGATCAGCAGGAATTCAGCGCTTGCAAGCAACATAGAATACCGAGGACCTGAGTGGATCCGAATTTGGAGATGCTGATGCTCAGTGCGCCTGCTCAGCCGTCAATCACAGCCTATTGTGAGCTCAGCAAGCACGCATTCGGCCGACAGCTGCTGTCGAGCATCTGCAGCGCACCAACCCGGCCCCATTTTCTTAACAGTTCCATTCATGTTTTCCCATCGGAGAACGCTTTCCTCGCTGCCCACAACATTCTGAGCCACTGGAACGTACAGAGGGTGTTGGTGACTCTACACGACTTTCCTTGAAAGGCTTTTAGCTGCCGCAAATGTTGGGCCTCTTCCAGAGCTTCACCTCCTGGGCTTCAGGCCGGCTACGTACAAAGAAGATGCATCTCAAGAGCGTTTAAGCGAGCCAAGCTCTTGGCTGAAGCCAGGGGCTGCAAGTTGCAGTCGCCGGCAGCAGCCGCAGCGCTCGCAAGGCCATAACGCTACGAACACGGCAGGATTGGTGAGCGGTAAACGTGGAGTGGGTGACAGAACTTTGTCAACAGACACACCTGTCGCTACGTTTCCAAGCCTCGCAGCTTAGGATCCCAGCAGCAGCCACCCAGTATTTTACCAATGGTGGCGTGACTCCGGGGGGGCGCACATCACACATGTCGTGGTTCCACTACCGCGATGCAGCTGTCAAGGGAATCGGCTAGAATTGGATCGCAAACTGCCAGGGCAGTGAACCACTTCGGAAGCATCAGACACATCCGCATGCAGGCAGGATTGTTAATTTAAGTTGCAAATTGCCTTGTATGTTGTGATTCAGTTGCGATCGAATTTCGATTTCTCGAGGCCAACCGCTGGCGTGTGGAGGCCCACCGCTCCTTTGCAGAGCACTTGCTCGAGTCCAGCGCACAGGCCGGCTCGAGCAACTTGTCAATTCATCCCGGCGGACCATGTCTCTGTATCTGAGACATTCTGAGACTGCAATTGGGCGGCCAGGCTTTGGTTTCCCTTGAGGCTGGATATTCCTCGCACGGGCAGCAGGGTCAGGCTGGCCCGGCTCCGCCTAGCCCACAATGTCTCCAGCAATATCATGTACCAAGATACAAAGGGAAGCTCCGAAGCCAGCCTTCCTTGAACCCACCTGGCAGGCCTTGCCATCTCAGAGTCTTCCATCGCGCACGTCAGACCCCAGTGCAGGCTCATAATGCTCACACCTGTGAACCATCAGAAACTTCACTCGACTGTGAGCCGATGATAATACACAAGCAGAGGCGGTAGTGAGCTCACGTCGTCTTAGAGGTTGCAATGCAAAAAGGGGTGGCCGGAAGCTAGGGATGTTTCCAACTGCTGCGTCTTAACTTAGCGCTTGTCTTTGCCCGAACCTCGAGAGTGCACATGGCTCAGCTGCACAAGTCCATTCACGGCGAAGGTACCCCGACGGAGTCGTTGGCAGAGGAACTGGTGGAAGGCCATGCCGTGGAATGATGCGACAGTCTGCACAAGGCAGAAACAGCCCCCCCTAGCGAGAAAACAGGAACTTCAGAAATTGGTCGTATTATGCAGACTGTACCCCGTCTGTTGAGGTGGGGATGCCCCTGCAACAGAGTCACGCCGGATACTCAGACCGAAAGTGTGGAGCAACGTTTACCCTGCTTACCCAACATGAACCCAAGGTTCCGACAAGCTACACTTCCTCGCCCAGTTTGGAGCCAGTTCGCCAAGCAATCCAATCTTGCCCGGGTACGACTAGTTAAACTAAACGAGGCTTGTGTCACGCTGGTCTTCGCTGCTCCTTACCCAAGTAAAACAGTCAAGAGAGCGAGCTGTGACTGTGAGCAAGGTCGGGCTATGGTTATCAGCTGTTGCCTGCAGACTGGCCAGCGGTCTGCAGGAGCTGAGGCACAGGGGATGTCTCGGATACATCGGACAGTCCATGGTCTCCCGGTGCCCCACTGAAAACCGTGCACCTGAAGGATGCTCCGACTGTTGGGTTTTTCAAGGCATTCAACACTTTGCTCTGACCAACTGAACCCATTGAGCAGAAGCTCATTACAAGTGCTTTTCAAACGTGTCCCTGTGGCGAGGCTGGAAAAACTGGATGTTGGAGCTCCTCCCTCAGAGCCCAGGTGCATGTCAGTCTCCATCTCGTCCAGCTTTCTCGTGGTGTTTGCCAGGCTCCGTCCGGATCGCTTGGAAACATACGTCGAACTCACAGAACCAGGTCGCTAAAATTTCCATAGCCCAGTCTTACTTGTAGCACTGAAAGACCGCCAAGTACATCGAATCCCAGAGACAGGCTTCGGGGAAAGTAGTGCCGCACACGCACGTCACATAGCGCAATCACTGTGTTGTGCGTCGCGGCTGACAGGTAACTGAGTCCGGGCGAGAGAGAGAGAGAGAGAGAGAGAGAGAGAGGGGGCTCGTCCTCCCTCTCCCCTAGCCCTGCAGAAAGAAAGAGAGAGAGAGAGAGAGAGAGAGAGCCGTAGCCATTTTGGCTCAAGCCATCAAGCTCACCGTGAAGAATACAGTACTT